CCATTCTGACAGCACACTCGAAGCCCTATCCACTTAGGACTTTAAATAGAAACCTAATTTTCTCTGCAAACTTATTTGCTGGAAATAGATTGATCCAGCTGTGAGCTCTGGTACAAAACATGCTTGGAAAAAAAGAGAAGTAGTTTGAGTGTTTTTTTCCATTACTATTTAAGAACGGAAACTGTGTACTCGAGTCTGTGAGCTCTGGGCTACCATGTTCCAATTGCTCAAACTTGTTTTGATCGTATAGATTGTATTGACTGAACATTCAGTGATTTTAAACTAAATTCCTTTTGCTCTATTCAATACTGAATCTGAAATGAGTACTTTGATTCTGTGATACTGTTGTTCCATTGTTCTGAGACTGCGTTTGGCTGCTTCATCGCGGCCTTCTAGCTCCGCCTCCAATCGATGGACACGTCTCTCCAACAGAGCTGCTGTTTGGGAGGAATAAGAGGTAGTTGGGAGACGGACATCTAATCCATTATCTTCTGTGCCGGTAGATGCAGCAGCCAAGATCAGGGCTGGCAGGGAGTTCGGATGCCTGCGTTTCAAGAGCTCTTCCATCTGTTTGAGCTGAGAAAATGAGGAAATGGGAACATGAGTGATAGATGGAACAGAATCCAAGAAGTTTTATTGATGCAGCTAATATTAAATATTGCAAAACACTCAGGAGGTGGAATAGAAATCCATTCATGACTATTTTTAGTATTATTTAACTACTGGATAGATACACTGGACAGGGGCAGGAAATTTTTTATGGTTTGGGAAATGTTGCAAGCCAGACTCGAAACCTACATGAGCAACACGACTCAAAAATAACAGAGAGAGTACACTAACCATTGAGCCAATTAAATACAAAGCTTAGTCATCCAGATGATCCATATCAGTCAAAGAAAGGAGTTTTAACATGAAGAGGAGGTGGCAAGCAGAAAGTGCTTGGAAAACTGACTATCCAGGCAGATGGTTGGTTACTCACAGACACGGTTGGATAATTCCACCTCTCAGGAAATAGAGCACAAAGAAGAACGTGCCCTGAATGAGCTGTACCTGCAGAATGAGACAAAAATATGTAGAGAGGCTGTGTCTGACCTGTCGTTCCAGGTCCTGGATTCTTTTAGCTTCACCCGCTCTCTCTTTTGCCTTTCTTTGTTGCTCATTGGCCCCCTTGCTGACCTCCATTTTTAGCTTTTCGACCTGCTCAGTGAGCCTTTGAGTCTCAGCGATGGCAGCTTGGAGTCTGGCTGCATCTTTGTCTAGTAGTTCCTGATTCTCAGCATACCACTGCAGTCTCTTCTTCAGCTCTGTGACTTCCTCCTGATGTTTTTCCTGGAGCATCTTTAGTTCGAAACCTTTATCACCTGGCAGATACATCCAGATGCTTGTTGCCATCAAGATGACAATCACATTACTGAAAAAAGACTACAGCATAACACTTCCATAACTGAAGCTCTACCTGATGTAGAGACAGCCTGAGCTCTGGCAAGGTCCCGCTCTTTCCTCACCATCTCCAGGTCTACATTCAGGGCTCGTTTCTCCTGTTTTAGCATGCA